GCTTTCCTTTAGTTTTGGTAACTGAAAATTTACTGCAAAAAGTTTCTATTGTGTTAGTGGGCAGATCTCTGTAAAGCATACTTGAAGGAAGCAAAGTGGTACTATGGTGGATACAAGCCTACGTTGGAAGAATATCTTGAAAATGCAAAGGTTTCCATAGCAGCGCCTCTCATGCTATTATGTAGTTACTTCCTAACCACAGATAAAATCACTAAGGAGGCATTGGATCATCTAGATGAGCTTCCAAGTATCATGCGTTCCGCCAGCTTGCTTCTTCGACTTGCCAATGATTTGGGAACATCATCGGTATGTTTCACAACCAAGATAAAAAATTGACATGCATTATCAATGATTATATTATTTTATTAAAGTCACACATTAACATGAGATATGTGTAGGACGAGTTGGCCAGAGGAGATATCCTCAAGGCTGTTCAGTGTTACATGAATGAAACTGGTGCATCTGAAGAAGTTGCTCGTGAATACATAAACAATTTAGTCCATGAAATATGGAAGAAAATTAACCGAGATATGCTCAACCACTGTCCTTTCTCTGAACCATTTTTAAGTGCCAATCCAAATATTGCTCGGACTGCTCAATGCTTTTACCAATATGGAGATGGACATGGTGTGCCAGACAGTTGGACAAAGGATCATCTGATTTCCTTACTAGTCCAACCGATTGCTTTAAACTAGTGGTGAATAGCATGCTTGACTCTTGAGTCAAGCAGCATAATAATTATCAAATAACTTCAAGTCTTACCATTTCGGTGTAATGCTTGACTCTTGAATGTGGAATATTTGTTGTGCTGGCGTGGTTTCGTATAATTATTGCTATGTATTACTTCATTTCAATGGTCTTTAAGTATTGTCATCCTATGGAATCATGTTTTTATTCTTCTATAAAATGATTTGCTGATGCTCTTTTGAACTCATACAGTAACTGGGTTATGAGAGTGATGCCAAAAAATGCGGAGAAGTACACCAAAGCAATACAAAGTCGAAACTCACCACCAATTGAAAATCCATTGAAAGTATAAGAGTTTATCAAGAAGGAAACTTTCTTCAAGTAAGCCAAAGGCTGCAATTTTGTTCAAAAAATATCAAACTTTTTCAGCTAATACAAAACTAAATACTCTTATACAACTTACCATGGAATACCCCTTCAAGCACTACTGGTAATGACAACTTACATTTTCAAGAATAATACTTAAGATCTTTGACCAAGACCTAAAAATACTTGAAAACTATAAAAGAGTCTTGGAAAACATAAGACAATATAAGGCTAAACAAAATTAAAATAACAATTCCTGATTTACTAGATAGATTATGCACTATTTGATTAGCAAAATTGTCGTAACTCATTCTAAAAAATTCCAAATAATATACCGGTTGATGTTGATGTGAAAAGACTCAATTTATTATTGGAAATAGACCCAAAATTTAAAGATTGATTAAACCTTTGTTTTCCTCCAATTGAATCGGGCTTTGACTAACAAAAGGAGTTGGGCTATTTCGCTTGTCTTGTGCCACTCCCGTGTCAAACTCCCCNGCTTTGACTAACAAAAGGAGTTGGGCTATTTCGCTTGTCTTGTGCCACTCCCGTGTCAAACTCCCCGAGTTGGAAAAAAACTCATCCTCAAGTTTGACTCCGGCACATTATATGGAATTGAACTTCGACTTTCATCCTATCAACCATTTCAATCTTTTAAGTTTTATATTTAAAGAAATTTTGACTTCGATATCTCCTACAAAGATAAAGAATTTAAAGTGGTTTGGATGTCCTCTCAATATTAAGAAATGAACAGGCTTTCATTGACGCAATCATCTTTTTTTTTTTT